TTTTTGCAGAGACCTTCTGACTGGCGGCTTGTCTCATCCGCCATCTTGGCTCTGTCTTTCCTAGCTATCACTTATTGATTACTTACTGTGTACCAGACTCTGCTCACTGTGCTACACACTTTATATACATTATTTGATTGAGTCCTTACAGAAAAGCCCTGCAAAGTTGATGGTGATATCCCCTGTTTATTGATATGCTACAGGTTTACATAGGATTATTAGTCGAGAAGATGGGGGGGGGGTCCTAATCCCAGGAAGTCAGTTTATGAGCATGGTCTTGGCTGAAAAAATTTGAGCTCTGCCCTATTTTTATGCTCCCTGCTATGTGTGGCTGACCAAAGATTTTAGGAGTTTAATCTTAGCCAGAAGTTATTTGAAGAGTTGCTGCCTTTCTTTGTGAGGGAAGAGTTTAATTTTGTGAGATTACTACCTCACATACATGCAAACTCAAGTTTTCAAAATTGAATTTTTTAAGTCTTTAAAATATGAAATAAACAATACAAGTTCACTGTAGAAAATTAGAAATACAGATAAGAAAGAGAAAAATGGTTACCTATAATCCTTTACTCAGGGCTGCTGTTGATTATAAAATATTGTTTTTAGTCCTCTTCATCTAATAAAGTATCTCAATAAAGCTTAAAATTTGAGTTATATTTTGAAGTAATATTTTGGATATACTAAGTTAAATAAAACTATTAAAATTAATTTCACTTATTTTTTTTTACCTTTTTAATGTAGTTACTAGAACATTTAAAATTAGATACTTGGCTCACATTCTATTTCTATTGGATGGTGCCTCTCTAGAGTCTCTTCCAGACCATTCTCGCTCTTAAATGAAACTTTACTGTGTGTACATTTAGCACTGTCATAATTGTTTTAGACCAGTGTAGTCCCATAGAAGTTTTGCATTTATGAAAATGTTTTAAAATCTGCCTAATACAGTAACCCCTAACCATATGTGGTTGCTGAGCACTTGAATTGTAGCTAGTGTGATGGAGGACTTAACATTTTAAATTTTACTTGATTTTAATGAATTTAAATATAAGTAGCCACATGTACTTAATAGCTACTATACTGGACAGCACTGTTCTAGACTTTATAAAAAAATAAAATTTCCATAAACCCTGACTGGTTTTCTCTTTTCCAGTTGTGTTGGTGTTGAAGAGGAGAAGGCTGCTGACATCGACCTCTACCACTGCCCCAACTGCGAGGTTTTACATGGGCCCTCCATTAGTAAGTAGATCTTAGGGTTTCCCGGAGAAGACAGTCTAGAGGAGAGACAAAGCAAAGGAGGCATGGGAGGGCGATTGCCTTTGCCTGAGTGCTTCAGATTCTTCCTCAGGAAATAGCCGAAGCCTGTGCAGACCCTGCAGGCCAGAGCTGCCCCACTGAGAGGGCAGAGTGCATAATTTCACCTCCATTCCTTCCTAGGGATTGTCTAGAGGCAGCACCCATCTTTACCAGGAATTTTCCTGAATCTGCGAGGGTCTCGTTCACTCCAGATGCTCCAAGGGGTTGTTAGATTGGATGAGAAGAAGGATTTGCTGAGGCCTTTCTTCTTAGAATCATAGCTCGTGGTCATTCTGACTCATGATCTCATGTCTTTTTCTGGCTTAGTGAAAAAACGCCGTGGATCTTCAAAAGGGCATGATACACACAAGGGGAAGCCAGTGAAGACTGGGAGCCCTACGTTCATTCGAGAGCTCCGGAGTAGGACTTTTGACAGGTGAGGACTCCTGTCCCCAAGGGATGGTGAAGGCCAGAGCTCTGGGAGGCTGGGAAACGTCTCTTCCCAGTTTTCCCACTGGCCCTCCCATTAGGTCCCTCCCCCAGTTTTGTGAGTATCTTCAGGGCTTTGCAAATTCCCTCTGGGGAAGGAACTTCTGGTTTGGTCAGTTTCTGACAAACTTTTGGTAGTTGGGAGGCAGTGTTCTCCTAAGTCAGGAGAGGAAACTTACATGCACCCAAGGAATGCTAGAACTAGAAGGAGTCTTAAAGATCAGAAAGTTTCGGCCGGGCGCGGTGGCTCACGCCTGTAATCCTAACACTCTGGGAGGCCGAGGCGGGCGGATTGTTTGAGCTCAGGAGTTCAAGACCAGCCTGAGCAAGAGCAAGACCCTGCCTCTACTA